GTAACTGTTAATTCAACGCTTTGCGTTGAATTCAGAATAAACTATTTCTGAGCTCTCAACGATGTCAACAGTTTCAACGACAACGCCAACGAAAACGCCAACGCGTTGTCAACGAAAACGCAACGGGTTGAATGCGTTGAATTTTTGCAATAAAACTGTCCGGTACTGTAAAAGAAGAAAAACTGGGTAAAGATTTGGAAAAGGGGTCAAGGGAATTCCATAACTTAGGTCCATTATAAAATACTGATTTTTATCTAAGAGAAGATACATTTTTCTGTGGTGATAATTGTTTTTTGAAAACCTGGTTGGATAGTTACAATTACATGTACTGTAAATTGTCCTTTTTTCACTGAATGCTGTCTACCTACTCATTAAATCCCCAAAATTGGAAATCCCAAGGCAGTATCATTAATTTACAGTATTGTACTACTATTATATATTATTCCAGAAATTAAAATTGAATTAAACCATGATTAATTAAGATTGGAAATAGAATTACCAAATACAGCTTGCTGTAGGAAATGTGTAGCAATTAAGTTGCACTTTGTGCAAAGGCTGGCTTTGTTTATTACCTTCCTCAATTCATAATTAATGTGCATGAATATGGCTGTCCATGGCCATAATGAGATGCTTAAGGTCAAATGCCGTTGCTGATTCTGACTTTCGTTATTCAGTTCAGTTACATAAACCATTGTACAAATCGTAAATTGTAATTTTAAGTTTATTATAGAATCAAATTGTACATTTGATGATCCAATATCATCATAATATGAATGTACAGTCATGCATTTTAAATTGAAGTATTTCTGTCCTTTCTGTTTAATGTGCTTAGCATATTTCTTGAAATGTTTTGTTTGCAAGTAAAAATTTCTGTACAGTACAATAATGAGTATAAGTAATTATGCATGCAGTCACAAGGTAATAGTGACCATGCTACAAAGTGTGCTCATTTTTATGAAAAAAGGATTTTTTTTATATGGCACTCAGTTCGGATGCAGATTACTGTAGTCGTCTGTCTAATTACATTCCATAGTACCTGCTATATCCCTTCATATTCTCACAGTAAAATTTATTAGCTTATGGATTGTTGAACTTCCATATTGTCGAGGTGGATGGATGTATAGGGCACAATTAAGTAAACAAATATCCAAAAATATGCATACAGTATACTGTGTCATGCCCACTGACATTAAAAGGTTCTCTACTTCTTGCGTAGCTGGGCTTGCATATTTAGGATATTTGCTTCTAAATTGGGTATGGCATTTTGCAACTAAGATGTCAAATGGGTATTATATATTAAACTATGTTGGGAATGGCATGATCAAATGCTTTTAATTCTTGATAAAACAAAACAATTTCAGCATAAGAGAATGCTTCCTCATCATAATCGTGTTAATCAAATTAGGTTGGACAAAGACACAATCTCCTGGGATATCCTTATTGTGGTATTTTTAATCAAGGAATTTGACCTTGCTATCTTTAATGAGAAATCTGGATATTAGTATGATTTTCAAAACCTGATCATCTCTTGCCATATTGGCTGTGAATATAATACCCATTATTGATTGGTATTGTTCTGGTATTTTTAATGATGGGTTACACTGAACAACATTAATGAATTGGCTTTTATGAGCTTTATGTATCAAAGCATTACGGAAGGATTTCTTTAAATTTGCAATCTACAAGATATTGTGAACCTGTATCTATGTACAGTAGTTATTATAATTCATACAAATTAATAATTATTTAGGTTAATCAAACAGTTTGATTTTCATTGCAAGGCAACCACTCCTTTTCCAGTGAAACAGGAAAATGATCATCCAGCTGAAATGCGATATCTTTCTCCTAATTATCATATTTATTCATGTATTAGTATGTTGTTAGATACCAGTGAGTGGATATTCAATTTCATTTGAAGTGTTGATGTATTAATTAGAATCATTTTGAATATTACTCTTGAATTATTACATTTGATTTCCACAGGGTCAAGCCCTTTGTTTAATACTGATGGGTTACTGGATGATGGTCAGCATGATCAAGTTGTTCCCTCACTAACATCACCATCACGCATGTCACCCCGTGACTATGGAGAACGTTTCTCAAGGAAGGTGTTTGTTGGAGGACTGCCGCCAGATATTGATGAAGGTATGGTATTTGGTAATGACCATGTCAAATTACACGTTTGTTTGAATAATGAAATTTCATTTGAAAATTCAATGTAAAAATAAATATTCTTGTTCTCTTTCATTTTAGAGGAAATAACAGCTAGTTTTCGTCGTTTTGGACCTTTAGTCGTTGATTGGCCTCATAAAGCTGAAAGCAAGTCCTATTTCCCACCAAAGGGTTAGTGTCTTACATACAATTAATTTATTTTGTGAAGTGTTCAGTAAGCATGTCTTCAACATTAGATTGAGTAAATTGCTTGATACTTTATAATACGGTAGTTTAAATATACTTTCATTAACTAATCTAATTAAGTATTTCTTTGGGCTGAAGCATAATGAAGCTCTGGATTAGGTTACTATGCACACTGAGAATTTAGTATTTATGTACGTATTTGTACAGTACATAGTATTTAAATGTGAATTGAAATAAAGTATGAGCGAGAAATAATATTTAGTACCTGGATTAAATATTGATCGTAATTTTTAAAAATATGTTGATCATTTTTTAGGTTATGCATTCCTGTTGTTCCAAGATGAAAGGTCTGTTCAAGCCTTGATTGATGCTTGTATCAAAGAAGGTGACAAGTTATATCTATGCGTTTCCAGCCCTACCATCAAGGATAAACCAGTAAGAGCAGTTTTTATTCTTATATAGTACAATCAATAGAAGCTTAAAACAGCATCTCAAAACATTTAATTACTAACAAATAAGCAGTTACTTTGAAATAGATTACAATATTAATTTTGTTAATATTAATGTTTAGGTTCAGATTCGTCCATGGAATTTAGGAGATAGTGACTTTGTTCTTGATGGCACACAGCCTCTAGATCCTCGCAAGACAATATTTGTTGGTGGTGTTCCAAGACCACTAAGAGCACGTAAGTCTGAATTTGTTGCTAGACATTAAAATATGTCAAGATGCTTAATATACATTTCCAATTTTAGATTCAAGTCCATCAAAGATCTTTGATTAATACCAGCACAGTCATGCTTGCATTCCTGCAAATTTTATGAAGTTGACAGTTTGAGATAGGAGCTCTGCATTTTACTAATTGTCCACATTCTTGTTTCTTTTAAACTGCTCTCTCCTTTTATCACTTTGTCGTCAATGGGTGATAGTGTGTTCGTAGGTAAATGAATGCATAGGATTTTTCCCTTAAGCCTACTTAATGTTGGTGCTATTACTGAAGAGATTGCATTTCAAAGTAGTAATTATAATGCATTAGTAATACAGTGTTCCAACCAGTCAAAAAATAATTTTTGTTTTATTAAAACACTAACGTTTTTCTGATATATAGAACGGAGTGTATTATACTTGTTCTCGTCTTCTGGCAGCACCATTGCCCGTTGCTGCCATTATAGCCCGTTGCTATGTTTATTTAATCGATAATATATCTTTTTAAACAAGGGGCACAATATATTTTTACTGATCAAGCAAAATAACATGGAAAATATCCTAGTCTACAAAATGAGTTCCGTTATTTATACTTAAAGGGATTGAACTTAAAAAAAATGGATTGTGGCTATAATGTTTAGGAAATGTTCATACCGTGTTTGTTCGAATAAATGCCCATGTGTGTTTATTGTTGAGAAGGGCTTTTGAGGGGCGTTTATTTTTTTTTGGTGTAAACGGATACGTATATCCTCAATAAACACACCTTAATTTCACTGTAAATGTGGAACTGCAACACATGATTGCTATCAAAATGTGTTATTCCATGATCATAAAGACTTCCTGATCCCAACCAAGTGAAAAACAAAAAAAATAATACTACTAGAGTAGAACACTAATAGAATGTGTTGAGAATGTTGCTTCCATTAGTTTTGATTAAAGTCATCTGGGGGTGGGGGGCGGGGTGGAGAGAGGGCGTCTTTATTTGAGGGAAAAAATAAACGTCCCTGGGCATTTATTCGAACGAGGCGTATATTTCAAGTGGGGCGCTGAAGGGGACGTTTATTAGAGAGGGTGCTTATTCAAAGAGGGGTGTTTAATTGGTTAATTGCGGTAATAATAAACAAAAATAACAAATTAATAATTAATAATAATTAACTACAAAAATATAGGTTTAAACTAGGTAATATAATGTCATGTTTTTTAAAAATTGTAGTTGAGTTGGCTATGATTATGGACCGTTTGTATGGCGGCGTATGTTATGCTGGTATTGATACTGATCCCGAACTCAAGTACCCGAAAGGTGCTGGGAGAGTAGCATTTGCCAATCAGCAAAGTTATATTGCAGCCATAAGTGCTCGATTTGTGCAGCTCCAGCACGGTGACATCGATAAGAGAGTAAGTCAAATTATTTCATATATTTCATCATTGAGTTTTGAATGTTCCTTGGTGTATTTTTGCACACATTATAATTTTGCTTTTATATAACATTAAAGGTTGTGGAACATTAATTCTACTGTTTATAATTTGTAGTGTCTTGTTCATGTTAAAATAATACTAGTAGTAGCTTTCTTATACATTTGTGTATAAAAACAAGAGGAATATTTTAAAAATAATTTGTCTGCTGTACTTGCAGTAGTAAATTATATTTGTTGGTAAAATAGATAAAACAATTTGTAATGAGGAATACAGTGAACTGTCCATTTTACAATTGCCAACTTAAACCTTCAATTATAGAAATAACTTACAGTATGCCAGTGATGACATCAATGAATGAATATTATGTCATGAAAATTTTTAAATTTTAATAATGTTTTATTGCCCATATCTAAAAAATAAAATCAGCACTATTTTGTCATTACTTCCAGTTAAATAGTTAAATTTTTTTTTTTTTTTTAGTGTAGTTTGACACCAAAACTTTTATTATGCTTACTGTAGCTATGCCTAGGATCTAGTAAATAGTAAAGCATTTTTACTGGTGTAAATGGAGTAGATTATTTATTCATAGGCACAGATCTTATCAAATGTCATAAAAACCTTATTTCCAGCATGGGAAATGTAGTTTTTTTCCAGCCAATTTTGATGCACATTCGGTTTCATTGTACCTTGTGTGCAAACAATGTACTCAAAACTAGCTAAAGAATTTAATTAAAGTCTGGTTTTTAAAAAGGAACAAAATAGAATTATTATTATCATTCAATTACTAACAGGAAACAGTTTGACAATCGCTCATAATTTCAACACGATATCGTTAGGTCTTTCGTCACTGTTTACAGTTGTGCTTAATTTGATTTTTTAAAACAATATTTTAAATACTGTACAGTTACTGTATATAAAGCAAATACTGACAATTCAATTCTTTTATAAATTTATTTGCATTCTATACCCTTCAATGCTAATCTAGATCTAGACTAGGGCCTAGGTATACTGTAGTTATATACCATATGCCAACATGGTGTACAGCGTCAAAATGAATTTTCATAAGGATAATAAAATATGAAACTTGATTTAATTTATGAACACCCTGTGGTCCCTAAAGTTGCATAAAATGAACATTTACTTTCGGAAATAGTCCAGAATATTATATATTTTAACCATAAATTGTAAAGATTGTAATTATTTTCTTTCTGATGTGAGTAGGCGTATCTGCTATGTGTATTTTGTATGTGTATCTTGTGTTAAAAATACAGGGTATATTTATATTATACTAGTGGTTGAATGTAGTTGTTAATTTTTGTACTCTTATCAATGCAGTCTCATGGTGATTAGCACCATCAATATGAACCATTGATTATTGGTTTCTGCCAGATGGTGTTCACCAGAGCCTAGGCTGACAACACATTCATATCAATTCCTCAGTAATTTGTGGCTCCAATTTTGTACAACTGACAATATTATTATTAACTATAAGTATTTCATGTATTATTGCTTATGTACTCTTGAAGGTGATCCCTGAAACAATACATGCATTCATGCATGCATTAATTAACTGTGCAGTGCTTGTGATACTGGTAGGGAAATTCAAGCCTATGAATGCACATAATATATTCCTCATTTACATGTACTTCATGTTCTTAAAAAGAATCTATTCTTATGCGATTTACATCATACTAATTTGAAATGGATAACATTGAGATTATAATGAATTGATTATCCTAGAGGTATGGTATATATAGTACTTAATTAATTTCCTTGCCACAGTTGACTGAGCCTCATATAAAAGAATATTATAATTATCGAAATTGAAACAGGCTTGTGGTTTGACATGATAAGGGAAAAAAAACATTACGAGTCTACTACTCTCACCTCTGTATTGTAATATTGTTAATTTATAAATGGGTATAAACATGGTAAATTATAGTTTCAATAATACAAATGTTGTAAGGAAGATTAATCTGAGTGATGTATACAATCTATGAATTCTGAATTACAACAGGTTGAAGTGAAGCCTTATGTGCTAGATGACCAGATGTGTGATGAATGCCAAGGAACACGTTGTGCTGGAAAGTTTGCACCATTCTTTTGTGCTAATGTTACCTGTCTTCAGTATTATTGTGAGATATGCTGGGCAACTATCCATTCTCGTCCAGGACGCGAGTTTCACAAGCCTCTCGTCAAAGAAGGTTCAGATCGTCCTCGCACCATGCCTTTCCGTTGGTAATTCGTGTCGAGCTGTTGAAGCAAGTTGATGTTGGTCAGTGTGTAGTGGTCTTAAATATGGTATCGTAAACACAATTGCATAATTAGCACGCTCATTCAATAGTAAACCCTTTAGTAGAGCAAGACAAGAAAGAAAATGGTTGTGCATTGGGAGCAGTAACTTATATATAGATATATATATATAAAAATATATACTTTAGATAATTTAATTAAAGTGCAGTAGCATATATTTATCATTTTGGGAAAATATTTTAATCAAATTAAACCAATATTTTTTAAATTTTTGTGCTGCATAAATATGTGCAGTACATGTATCAATGTGTGTGTGTGCATGCATGTATGATCAGATATGGGTGCATGCATACATCTACATGAAACATTTATATGATTTTATATTTGAAATGGTGACTGTTTCACTAAAGAAGTGATATAAATTTGCCATGATCGCTCCAAAGCACATTAACTTTTACCATATTTGCTTGTCTCTTGCCAAATCTAGTGAACAACTCAAGCCTCTGAAATAGTTGTGGCCAAATTTACAGTGATCTGTTACAAAAACCTAACATAATAAAGGACATTTCTCATTAGAATTTAGTTGATGAGATGAAAATATGACAGTTAATCCAGTTTGTTGTCTGTCCAAGTCTATTTAGTGATACCAAAAAAGCATGATAAATGCAAATTGTGCAATGGTCTATTCCACACGTGACAACAGATAATGTGTGCTAATTTTTAAGCTGGTACTCGTAAGCCAGATTTGAAAGTTGGTATACCTAGCTTTTATCATCAATACATAACCTGTAATCCATTGTCATTGTGCATCTGTCCCCACTGACAATTGGTAAATGTCCTATTAATAAGTGTGCTAAATGTATATCACTAGATGAATAAATTATTAACTCCATACCAGTATAGTTAGTCAGAGCTGGTTTATATGTTGCTAGTTAAATCTGTCCAGGAAAAGTGTCCAAGAATGGTAGAAGTTAGTAAATTATTTATTGAATATCTTGAGTAAAGTCACATATTATCGATTTGTATTGATTTGTAATGTCATTGATCACCTATGTTTATAAACCTTGATATTCTAATAGAAAACATAACAGATTTTTTTTTATAATACTCTGAATCTTAAGGCTGAAATGCTAACCAGTCATTGAAATAAGATTACTTGCTTGCAAATAAGCAAAATTACAGTATACTGGAGATTTTCACATCAGTGTAACCCCATGACATATCTCCCTGATAGTGTCAGTTGATGTTAATAATTACTTGTCATCCATGAAGTATGAGCTCATCCCTTCATTTTGTACTTACTGATGCCAAGCAGCAGTTTGAACATTTGCATATATCGTGCAATTTTTCAGTCCTTATATTAAGTACTAGCATTTGGGCAATCATTTAATAAACATTTATGTGTGTATAGATGAAAAGTCCCTTTACCTGACGGCGATGTCTGTCTTGAAACAGATGGTCCATCAATAGGAGACTTGCAGTTATCTATCGCTACATAAACTGTTTTGTTAATATCAGTGATCTATTCAAGTTTGCAAATATTGTAGATGTAATAAAGAAGATTCTTAGTTTTTTATATCTTGATTACAGGTTCAACAAATTTGATAATATCAATTAGAAATTGTTTTATTTATTCTTAGGAGGATGTAATATATTGTTAGTGATAGGTATCTAAAATGTGGGGGCAAACTGCCAGACTTTTTATTTGGGTGTTTCCCCCCCCTAATCTAGAGAAATATATTAATTGTTGAATAATAATTTGTAACTTGACAAGCATCAGCAGATGTGGCCGTACTCAAGTGATTTTAGGATTCTAACACAGTATGAATATACAAAGTGTAATTGGTGAGTTTGTGTTTTACAAAAACATTTTGAATCAGTATTTGTACTATTGTGAAGGTGTTTGCTTGCTGTATGATTAGTAAGACTAAGAAACAATAATCACTATTCATTACACAAATTTTGCAATTTTGATGAATTTTTACATAATTTAAATGGTTCCTATTTAAGATTTGTCATTGAATTTTTGCAGAAGTTTTCAGATGTCACATTTTTGCACCATATAGAAAGATGTATAAATTAACAAGTTTTAAAATGCGGTTTCCTTTTTGTATCTTTTCCATAGGTTTATATTGAGGCAACAGAAAAGAGTACATTTTGTTACTCGACCTTTTTATTTTTCTGTGCAGTATTTCCTACCTGTGATTCATAAAAAAGCTTTTTTATATATATATAATTTTTTCTCCAACCTTTTATATCAAGATCAAACTGTTCTATATGTTATGTATGTTCTTATACCTCATAGTAGCTATTGTGATCCTGCAAAGTATGTTTGTTCTGTCACTGAAATTTTTGAAATGTTTAATACTGTATAATTAATTAATATTATTTATAATTTCACAAATCAGAAAACTTCATTATGAAGAAAAAAAAGATTTGTTTATTTTTAAAATAAATTTTAGAAACCAAGTTTTTCACTAAAGCTTTTAAGATTTTTGATAAATGACTAATTTGATGTCAAAGTAATGCATGATTATTTGCATGATCAATTTGTATTTTCTTAAGTCTGTAATAATAGTAATACTGATAAATTTTGCATGACAATGGGTTTTTACTATGAATATTGGGTTGAAGTTTCCCTGGCATGGTATTGACGTTCCTCCATATTCCATCACACAAGGATATGGTGCTAAGATACTCAAATAGATGAGGTTCGTCTGAAGTCAGCTGCCACCCCAAAGTACTATGTTGGGGGAATATTTAATTACTATTATATCAATCTTTTATGATCAGGGCAACAAGTTTTTTAATTATTTTCAGTGCAATATGAAGTGGAATGGTACCGAAATGTGATTTTTGTTTTTTCTATTTGAATAGTTGTTTTTGATATTTTATTTTTCCATTACAATGCAGCTTGTTTGTAATAATAAGAGTTCAATACTGCAGTCAAATCCAATATTTGTAGAAATATATTGAGGTGGGTATGTATTGTGTGGCCTTCTCTAACATCTGCTGTGTAGGTAGTATTTACTTGGCCTAAGGCCAGTTGTGGTTAGATTGCTACTATATAGTAATGGAGAATTTAGGCCTGGTGATCGACACTAGGACCACAATACTATTATTTCTCAATATATTCTTAAAAACATGAAGAAAAATTAAACCACTGTGTGTAATTCAGATATTTCATTGTGATTTGCATTGCAATGTTTGAAGTGCTTTACTTTTTCTTTCATTTTGGATTTGTACTGTTATATATTAAACAATTGTTAGCATACTGTTGTGGTCAGGTCTAGCCAAGTTGTTTTAAAATTTGTGATAGTTGCTGTGTCTGGTTTTTTTTCCCCTCAGATTTTCCGTTCAGTAGTTTAAGAAATGAAATGTTTTCAGTTTACATAAAGATTCTCTATTTTGATTTCCATGGTTTTATTTATAGAAAAATAATTATTTGTTTTCAAAGTACTGCTTTTGATTTTGATCAGAATTTATGAATGCTGAATATTGCAAATTTATCAAGTAATGTTTTAATGTTATGTTTCATTGTGCATCATTTGTTTATCTTTATGGAAGGTGGTAGCAAGGTAGAGAAGATTGAGAAACTTTGCGGTGTCCATACAGGATTTGTTGTTTTTAAAATCTTGATTGTGTTTTTGTATATGGGAACTATATTAGATCAATATTTTTGTTGAATCTGAATTAATACCAAAGTTTATATGTTTTGGACAAAAAAAGAAAAAAAAAACCAATAAACCCACAGTGTTAATCATTTTGTGGTAAAGCTTATACATTATTTTGTTAGTGTGGTTTCTTTTTATTTTCCGTCACTTTGATGTAATTTTCTTTCTTTTGGTTAAAGAATGACTTTCTTTGTCGGTCTATATTTTCAAGTTATAAGTACTAATTTAGATTATGTAAGGTGTTTAATAAATTTTTTCATGATAGCTTGTTTTTGTGGAAAGAATATTATAGAATAGTAAGATATATGATGGTTATATAATATAAGTCATAGATAATGAAAGTGTGTGTGTGCGCGTGTGCGTGTGGAGTAATCTTAACAGGTCTTCAATCCACCTCCATATATTCAAAATAGTAAACTCCGAAGCAAGTGAATAGAAAGTTATGTTGGATGAGACATAATAAAAAAATTGCTGATTGAGTATACTTGTGATGCAATAATACAGGGATCTATGATATTGTACTAGTACAAACACTACTGTTTTGACAAAACCATGCATGTATCATTCAGTGAAGATACTACTTAAATCATTTACTTATTTTTGTTATTTTGTCACTCATTTTGACCAAACTTTGCAGGTTTCAAAATAGTTGCATGACAAACTTATGTTTGAACTGTCATCATAATAAAGACAGTTCAAACAAAAGTTTGTCATGCAACTATTTTGAAACCTGCAAACATTTAACATCAATTATACAGAAAAAATGGATTTAACATTATGATAGTTTGAATCGGCAACTCTGTGGTCTGTGTGTTTGCTATAGTAAGTAGTCTGTAGAATGGCTAATACTCTAGACTAACTATTGTTGTGTGTTAGTAGACTTAATATAAATGGTTATTGACAAGATAGTATCTGCTTCATAATAAAAATAAACCTGCCTGTGCTATGTCAATTTCAAAGTAAAACTGCTCCGTAGATCACCAGTATTTCAATTACAAATCACTCTTCAGTTTGTTTCACTTTTAATTTCAATTCCATTTGAGGAATGTTGGATACCACTTTCTGCTCAAAATGTATCTTTAAAGAAGGAAGACATAAAGTACAATTTAGCAACTTTATGGTAAATTGGATTTCATTTTTTTTACCAATAATTTTTTTATAAACATAAAAACAAAGAAGTCCGATGGTGGTGATAATCCTACTACAGTAGTTGATTTGGGTGTATTTTTACTATGCACTGTGGGTGTGTGCAAATCCAGTTGAGTTTTATGAAGGTAGTTTTGATATAGAATTAATTTTTCTATTAAATCATAAAAGTAATTTTGGGAAACAGATATTGTATATATATGTTGTATTCATTTTTGTAATAATTATTGCATTATTTTCTTCCAGATTCCTTCCCATTAAGTACTGGTGTGTATGATAACAGAGTATTTTTTCCAAATGGCTCGCTCTAATCACCTTGTTTTCTAAAAATCAGTTTTAAAAAGAAAGAAAAAATATGCTTAAAATCCTAATTATTATATACAAGAAAATGGCATTAATATTAGGGTTTGTCTATTATATATATTTGGGAATGATATCTGGGTTATTTGCAGTCAATTTTGATGATAATACTTTGTTGTTTTTTGGAGTATTTATAAGCATTTATGATTGTTTTTTGAGATCTTTCTAACTTTTTGAAGCTCTTTGTGTAACTAATAAATGAAAAAATACAATTCACTTGTACTAACATGTCTTTATGATATTATGTGTGGTAGGACGTGCCTAACAAACTCTTAACAACTCACTGATTCCATTCTAACTCTCAGTTGTTTTTTATATACACAATATACAGCTATATAAGAACATCAGAAATGCTAGATAATAAATGCATAAATATTTAAAAATGTATCTGAGGAGAGTGGTCTGAGCCCGAATGAAAAATACCAAGTAAACTGTTCGCATACATGTTTTTTTTTTTCATTCTTTAAAATATCTTTGACATCACAATTGAAATAGCATTAATGCTCATATGGAGAAGAAATCAGAAATCTTTAAATACAGTGGTGTAGTTAAGAGTCTTGAAATATGGGGCTGATGGGGAGCAAAGGTGCCAAACCAACCAACCTACATACATGCATCAAACCAAACAACCAATCATGCACCAGACCAACCTTCACCTGCACCACACCAATTTAATCAAACGAACCAATCAACTTACTTACATGCATTAAACCATCCTACAGTACATACATGCAATCAAACCAATCTACATACATGCACCAAACCATCCTACAGTACATACATGAAATCAAACCAATGTACTGTACGTACATGCACCAAACCAACCTCAAACATGCATCAAACCAACCTACTACATACGTGCACCAAACCAACCATTGGCATTACATACATGCATTAAACCAATCATTACATGTATTAAACCAACCAACACACATGCATAATACAACCTACACATACATGCATCAAACCAACTTCTGTACAGACATGCATCAAACCATACAGTACATGCATCAAAATAACCTACTTACTCTTACATGCACAAAACCAACCTACATACATGCATAAACCAACTACTGTACAGACATGCATCAAACCAACCTATACATACAGTACATACACCAAACCAATCTACATGCATCTAACCAACCTACTACACCAAACCAACCTACATCATACATGCATCAAACCAATCTATATACATGCACCAAACCATCTACTGTTCCCGCTTGCACCAAACTAACCTACATACTGTACATGCACAAAACCAACCTACATACATGCATAAACCAACTATTCTACAGACATGCATCAAACCAACTTATACATACAGTACATGCACCAAACTAACCTACATACATGCATCAAACCAATCTATACATGCATAAACCATACATATACTAGCACCATACTAACAAACCATACATGCACCAAACCAACCTACAAACATGCATCAAACTAATCTATATGCATCTAACCAACCTGCATACATGCACCAACCAACCTACATAATTGCATCAAACCAATCTATACATGACCAACCTACATACATGCACCAAACCAGCCTACATACTATACATGCACCAAACCAATCTGCATGCATAAAACCAACTACACATACTGTACATGAACCTACAAACATGCATCTAACTAAGCCAACCTACATCCATCAAACCAACCAAAACCCTTGAATAAGCGCCGCTCTCGAAAAAGTGACGCTTCAAGATTATTCTATATTGAAAAAGTTCCTTGGCACTTAATCGAGAGTACATATTACCCTGTGTGTAATGAAACACTTTGAGAAACAGGGTTTTAAATATAATGTATTATAATAAATGAAGACACAAGAATATCTTTATGAACATTTATTTATTTATGATGATGTAGGGTCTAAGATAGGCCTACCGTACTATGGGAATACGTAGGAATGGAAAGCACCATGCCAATATTTTTTTAATAAATGCCGCTTTTGAATAAGCGCTGCTCTGGCATAAGTGCCGTATTGAAGCCTCCAAAAATTCTATAAGCGCCGCGGCACTTATTCGAGGGTTTAAAGTGTGCATCAAACCAGCAAACCAACCAATATAACATGCACCAAACCGACCTAGGCAATGCATCAAACCAACTTCTACTGCACTGCATACATGCACTAACCAATGTATACCATGGAATTAACTAACCGAAATACTAGCATAGTATGGTACTAGAAGGTGAGGGTCTTTTGGTAGAGGAAAAGGTCCTTTTAAGAGGTCAGAGGATATGCCTTTGGGGCCTTATAAGTATCCACTTATACTCCTGGGTGGAGAGAAGCAATGCAGATAAAGTGCCTCGTCCAAGGACACAAGTGAAATTCACAGTGAGGGATGGAAACTCCGACCTCAAGGTTAGAAAACCAAACCGTTCCCGCGCTTAACTTACCTAATTACTAGCATAGAAAATACATTCTAGGGGATCTGAGGGTGTTGGTAGAGAAAAAGGTCCTTTTAAGAGGTCAGGGGATAATTATGCCCTTTTGGCCTGGAATAATGTTGAGTCATGGCCAATGGACTTGCCCAAGGGCTTGCCCTTCCAATTCCAATGGGGGATTAAGCTCCTGCCCCTCCCCCACTGTGCTGCCAATGTATAAATACATTAATTCACCAAATGCACTAAACAACCTCAGATTTTATGATGTAATGTGTACTGTAGGTTTCCTGTTGTACATTGGGTTAAGGGGACCCATTGATAATCAGTGTACAAAAAAAATTCAAATGACTGACTCATTGATTGGTTTATATTACTGTTATTCAAGGTAGTATATGAGATGGAAATTAGGCAGACCCCAAATGCTGCTTACAGCAGAAACAAGAATGGTGAATCAATATTTGAGTATGACATGGGTATTGAACTGAAATTTGTATAGGCCTAAGTTAAAAGAAAAAACAAGAACAATAATAGTTAACAGTTTTCACCCGAAGCCATTTTAGCCGTCAATTTTAACAGTAAAAATAACTGACCAACCATTAAAAATTGTGTTGCTAAAATTTAAAAAAAAAAAAGCAGTTATAGGCCTTGGTAGCCTAGGCGGGTCTCTTTCAGTAAATGAACATCATTCCAGTCCGGCCAGGCATAAGCTATGGTTATGTATTATTGTTTTATGAAGCAAAAAAAAAAAAAAAAAAAAAAGTGGCAATACCTCACATTGCACGCGCTTTGCAGGCTCTCTGTATGGACAAATTTACCAGTACAATTTTTTCAATTGAGAGAACAAAAAAAAAAGTTCATCCCTATTATTACAAACACAAGCATCTCACGTCAAAGATAAAATTTTTGTCTGAAATATGAAATGATAATCTGGAATCTTATTCTGCAACAATACTACACAATTTTCCAGACACAGCATTCTGACCTATGACCTACATTTAAATGATATGATAGTTTTGGTGATGATATGCTATAAAGGTCAAATGAATTCCGATGTCATTTGCTTTCAAAGCATTGCTCAAATTATCCATTCATGTCCATGACAAAGGCCAAAGCACTTGCATACATTTATTCTTTAGCTCAAATTAACATTAGGCTAAATATCTGATCTGATACATTCAAAATTAGACCTACAATATTCATACTTTTCTACACATACATAAAAAAATCATATGATATTATAAAACATCATTGTACAATATACTGTATTGTGTTTTCAGTCAATGTTTATGCCACTTTCATCAAATCTCATGCCATATTTTCTGTCTTATTTATATCAGTTGTCAATAAATGCATTCTGTACAAAGAATTTATGTAATTATTTATTGGTTATAGCTAATTTCTAATACATGGCCCATGGGCCTATACACGAAGAAGCTTATAATGTTATCCTTGCCTTGACAACATCTGTTATTAATCACAATATTAACTCAATGCTATTAATTTTTTTATACTATC